CCTCCTCTGATCTCTGATCTTCTGGCCTGGACTTCTGCTTCCTCATCGACACCAGCTTAGGATTTTTCTCCCAGATAATTCTGCTCTATCTCATCAGCTGGCTTCTGCTCGTCAGTCTGCTCTGCAGCACTTTTGGCATCAACTGCTGGAACTCTCTGGGCGGCTTCCACTGCATGTGGTGGAAAATCTTCCAGCTGGATTCCTCTCCTTCCTCTGAACTTAATAACCATGTTACTGACTCACATGCTCGCTATCGTTCCCCGTCAGAGTTACATGGTCACTAACCCGTGTTTATCCCTCAACGGAGGTTCAAGCCATCTAGTCCTATTTGACGAGATACAGAACTCTCAGCAATGAATAAACGGTTTTTCAAAATCCCTTCAGTCTGTCTGCCTGAATTCTGGGTCCAGCGTTTTGAGTCCTGACACACGGAGCTTCGGATTTAACCTCGGAAGAATCAGACAGCACTTCTGAATCCTACTAAGTGAAATATTATTATTGAAAACAAAATTAAAGGTAGTAGAGGATATTAAGAAACCACTGGAAATCTTGCATGTCAATGTTGAAAGACTAATTGACCATTCGGATAAGATAATGGACCTAATGGTGGAAATGAAAACCCTAAAACTGCTCAATGCAGAAAAGGATTATCAATGTTAAAAACAGAGTAGCAGAGCTGGAACAGTTCTCTAGAAAGGATGGTGTGATTAGAGGGCTAAAAACACTGCTGTGGAAAAGGAGTGAGGAAAACTGGACAGATAAAGACCCTGCAATGGTGGAAGAACAGGTAGCTGCTTTCCAGGAGACCTTTCTTAAGTTACTCTTCACTTCACAGGAACTATACTCTTCAACCAGCTTCCTCCTCATTTCTTTGACCTCTCACCAAATGTATAAAATATTTGTTACTTTAATAATTTAATGCTTTCTTTAACTTAAACTGTTCACTTGTTCTTTCCCAAAAACGTATTACGAAACATCTGAAACATAATAAGTTAAAGAATTGTTCCTGTCCTGTTCCACAGTTTACATTCATATTAAAGTTTTGTTTAAAAGCCTAATATGCTGATCTGTTAACTTAGTTTTGTTTGTGATATATCACAATAAAATGTAACTAAGCTAATTGAATATATTGAATATATATCTTTGAATATCTTTGAGGCCCTTGGAGTTTCTTGACCTCCTTGCACCTTTTTTGATGATCCTCATTATGTTCTGATCATTGCTTTTTAATTTTTAACTGTGCGTGCCAAATAAATTAATGATAATAAAAAAATTATAAAAACAAAAATGCTTGATAGTAGATGAACCCCAATAAAACTAAAAAAATCTTTAAATGAGGGGCGGTTTGTGATTTTGATCCATATTGGCCGTTGCCCTGGGCAATAGGGTTAAAGGAGGGCATATAATCTCAAAAAGCCATATAACATATATACCAGTTGTGATTTGAAAGTATTTGTGCATTTCGGGAATTTCTTTGGTGCAAAGAATCTGCATATTTTATGTGATTTGAGCACAACTGCTAAGGCTGCAACTAACTATTATGTTGCAAATCAATAAATCTGTCAATTATTTTTTAAATGAATAATCGTATAGCCGAAGCTACCTTAAAGAAGACTTTTTACGAAATGAAACCAGGTGAAAATAAAACTTTTCCACTTGAGGAGTTCTGGGTAGAGCATATTGATGGACAAAAAAGATTTTTACATCTTAAATGCAAAATATTTACAGATTTTCTTTTACAATTTTTTGTAATTGCTTCTCAAGGTTGGTTGCTCTGTGAGCTAAAGGGACGTTTTTCAGTCTCTACACTCCAGTTAACGATAATCGATTAATCAAGATTAGTTTGATTAATTGTTTCAGCCTAATTACTGCACTGCATTTTGTGCAGCCAAGGCATTCATGTGCACTCTGATTGTTTAAGGGAGCAGCATAAAGAAGGGCCTTCCCCTGGGTAATGCCCATGCATGAAACGTCACTGTCTCCCTTTCCTGCCCTAAAACATACCATATTTTTAATAAATTAGGTAAACTTGGAGGTAACTGACTGTGAACCTTTCCACATACATAGCCTGAGCACAGCTGTGTCAACCTACAACATTTCCTTATCAAATAAGAACAGATGAGGCTGTTACAGGCAAATTTAGGTTTATGGGACAGCTGCCTTTCATACTGAAATAAACATAGATATTTTTTTACCTTATGTAAGTATTATATAAGTAAACCAGATACTGAGGTTGTAAGACCTGAGCACAGCAGTTCTAGTTCCAGCTGAATAGAATAGAATAGAAAATCCCTTTATTGTCCCACAATGGGGAAATTGTAGTGTTACAGCAGCAAATGTTTATAGTAAAAGTGGTCACACAATGTGCATCTTAAAAAAGTATATAAAAATACCAGATAGGAAAATAAAACAAATAGAATATTGTAATGTGCAGTGTTTTACAATGTAAATACTCTGTATCTGGAAGATTTAAAAAAACTAATAACAGCTGCGGACATTTTTACAATAATGAATATTTTGTAAATAGTAGCAACACCAGAGATGTACTGTACAAAAAATAACAGCATCAATCTTACAATCTACCTGGGACTGTTTCCTGCATGCCTTCTTATTCTTTGCCCTCCTATTTCCATTATGGCAACTGTCAAGGAAAGACTATTAGTGCCAAAAGATCCTAGAAGGTACACCCAATGACTTTTTTAATTCGAATGTACAGTAGTAATGAGTGGGCTTCTTCTTACCAGTAGATGGCAGACCTGTACAGTCAACCACCTTGTAGGCTTGCTCTGCACTGAACTCAACCCAGGGTAGCAACTGTAGCTCTGCTGCAGGTGAATAATTCAGTTAGTTTGGCTGTGATGGGGCACAGATAAAGAAAACAACAGTGTCAGTTCAATAACCTGTCTACAGTGTCTCCAGTGTCAAGGAAGTTTGTGAAATTTAATACGGGTAGGGAAACACATCCTTATATAACTTCTCACAAACAAGACGTTTCAAGTCAACAGCAACTCATCTAACCACATATTTTGACACTGTATCTCTATTAAGACTTGTTATTGTCTTCGACAACAAAGACGAGGACCGACTTCAGTTGGCAAAACAACTAACCTCCTAATCAGCAGGTGAATTTTGATGGTGCCATCTGTTTCCCGGTTATCTACTAAACCCTTCAGTTTTGGAGCTCCAGACCAGAACACAGCTTCCACACTCCAAAGAAACTAAAATGGTACGACTGTGAGACCAGACAGCTGGACTACACAGCTTACAGTAATAATGAACGGTTTTCAACTTAACCAAACACCCCAACAAGATCTTTCTTATTTATCTAATAGAAATTTCCAAAAGCAAGTCGTTTACTGACTGTCTGTAAAATGACTGTCTGTAAAATAAAAAGCACAGACCTCTTAATGATGTGTGCAAAACATCATGTTATATATATACTATATAGAGCAACCCACCTTGAGCAGCAATGGAACCAAAATTGTAAAAAATATGTAAACATTTTGCACTTAGGATTAAAAAAAAAGAAAAAAAAAACTTTTTTTGTCCATCAAAATGTTAAATCCAGAACTCCTGAAGTGGAAAAAATTTTGTTTCACCTGGTATAATTTAGTGAAAAATCTTCTTTAAGGAACTTTTAATTGTCCGATCCAGACCAATCTAGCTCTTCCTCCAAAGGTTGTTTTTCCCATGTGAAAGGATGCATTTATCACGATTTACCAAACTTCATGTTCGATGACTTGAAGTAGGCTGAAAGATGTGAAAAGGCAGCACACCATCATCAGTCTGGAAATAGTTTCAAATTCCAAGGCTTTACTGAGAGCAATTAACATTAAATGACAGTGGTGAGGCTGCCCAGGAGCGACTGGCCTACCAAAATTACTCCAAGAGTGTATAGATGATTTATAAGACAAAAACAAACAAAACAACATCTAAAATGCTGCTGCTTTAGGATTTAACTATAAGAAAGCAAGAAAATGGGGAAACATGTCATGAAATAGACCGTTTCAAGATAAAAACACCAAGAAGAACATTATAAAACTTTTGATGTTTGGGGAACTATTCTATAATCTATGAGATGGAAGGGAAACTGTTTGTAGTGAAGTAGTGTGAACTAATTCATATAATAATTCATAACAGTCACTCAGTAAGATGCTGATGTTGCCTAATGCAAAAATCCACCAGTTCTTGACTTGATTCAGGACCAAACTTTAATTTTGAAGCAGAACAACAGGCTGAAATGAGCTGGCAATTCCAACTTTAGGTTTCAGTCAAAGTCTGCACTTTAATCACACTAAGATTCTGTAGTGTAACCTGGAACAGTTGGTTCTCTAAAAAACTCTTCAATATTTAGTGATCGATAGATCGAGAGCAAAGAATGTGTCTCCTACATATTGAAATGATTGGTTAGACAGACAGACAGACAGACAGACAGACAGACAGACAGACAGACAGATAGATAGATAGATAGATAGATAGATAGATAAAATAATCTTAAATTAAGATCAAATATTTATTTTTGAGTTAGTTGTAAAAAAAAAAAAAGATTTTTGTTTTGCTTTAAATGTTTGTCATTTTAAGTTATTGTGTTTACATTTTCTTGGAAAAAAAGAATTGAATCCCTTCTGGAATACAACTATAACGCAGCAAAATGTGCATCGTGTGGAATCCCTTTCAAAAAAACACAAAATCAACCTAAAGACAAATACCTGTGACCCAAAAAACTCCAAGTGAAAGAAGCAAAGCAGAAAGTTCTCACGTCTGCCTCAACAAAAGCATTCAAACATAACAGTCGGTATACTGGGAGGGGTTTCCACAATCATTAGGAGTTTGTTTATATTTTACAAACCCATATTAGTATGGTCAGACACTGATGTTGGCTTATCTCAGATTTTGCTAAACTAAGTCATCCTTACCAGTTGTTTTTCTTTGTACCAGCTATGTCTTATTTAGCAGACACAAGAAGGAACCAAACACTTGAAAATTCATAAGGTTGTTTTTAATTTTTTAATCACAATCATCTTTTGTTGGGTTTTTTCCAGTGTCTTTAAAAAACATGAAAAAATAAATATACATAATTTTACAAAACATTTTCCAGTGTTTTAAGATCATACAAAAGCAAAAAAACACTTATCAACAGCAGTGTAAAACAAACTGGCTGTACTGAGCTGCAAAATACAGGGAAATTGGGTTTCTATTAAGAGATGACGGATTTATAAATTAGATCCAACAGTGCCAGGATGAAATGAATGATAAAGGTGAATCCATAGGTGCTTTATTTGTAATTTGTAACTTTGCTTACCAGAAGGGTCCACTATTTAACAAACAGGCAGGTCCCATCAGATGGCAGATTTAGGCTTTGTTTAAAAAAAAAAAACATTTAAACCACTCCTCTCTTGTGAATTGAGCCAGGATTTCTCATACCACCATGAAAACCTGTAAGGTGTGAGTGAATAAGGCCTCAGTCCTACTGTAAAAGGCACAATCTAGTCGTCTTCCCAACATTTTTCAGGCATTTTTAAAATGTTATTTTCAAAGTGTACACATTTGTTCTCGGCTGCAGCTGAAATACAAAATAGATTATTTCTTCTTCACTTAAAAAACAAAATATCTACACCGTAATTACACTCTACATACACTGCACTGAGAGGCTCTTTAGAAACCTTGGAATCCTCGATGCAAGCGTCCCCCAACTGCAGGACTCAAAGGCGTTCGTTGATAACAGTTTGTGTTTGACCCTTGAGGAGAGATTGTAGTCTTTTAAATCCCTTTGGACTACAAATGTACCAGCTTGGGATCATTCATCAGACTTTTCTCTGGCAGATGTCCTCAAGAATCCTCCGATCATTCATTCTGGAAGTGTTCTTTGTTGTGGTTTTGGCACACGTCTTCTCTCCTATACTTTTCCCTTTATTCTCTCTCATATCCTTATCTCTGGTGTCCCAGGTATTCCTAATGTCTGCCATTAATACTGCACGCTTAAACATGAAAGAGGGATACAGGCGGGTAGATCACCCAAAGTTCACCCTCTCTCCATCTTCATCTCACTTCGATTTAATTTTCTTCCCTTCTCGGCTCACGTCCCGTCTGCAGGCTTCTCCTCTCACAGGGGTGGGCTAGTCTCGAACTCCCTGACGAGTCAGATTGAAGTCTCGTTACTGCCACTGGCGGGCGGGGAGAAAGGAGAGGGAGGGGATGCAGGGAGGCAGTAATTAGGGAGAGGAGGGAAAAAGGAGAACATGCAAGGTGAAAAATGGATGCAGGGATGCAGGAGGTCCTCGTGCAGCAGCTAAGCAGGACGGGTGCATCATTTTCATGCTAAGGTAAAGTTATTTATAATGTTCACATTATGTCAGGGTGCAACCACAAGCTTCAATGCATTACACTGGGATTTTATAAAGCACTGGAATAAAGCATGATTTTAGAGGAGAAATGCAAGTTTTTTCCTAAATATACAAGCAAAATATGCTGTCTCTACAATTTTCTTGATCTTTTTGTTTGTTCTCTTAAAGTCCTTTGAGATTCTTCAAAGGAAAGTTCTTTCCATTGGTCTTTTCAGAGTAAAAGGGGCTTAAACACAAATACACTCTAGGTTTTATTTTCTCTTAACTGTAAAAACCATGTGTCATTTTTATTCCTCTTCCTGATTATGTGCTACTTTCTGTTGGTCGGTCTCATTAACTTCTAAAATACTTTGAAGCTTGTGGCTATAATGTGATGAAATGTGTAAAAAAGCTATATTATATTACACTTACTTAAATGACCAGCCTTATATAGTGTATAATATAAGAATAATTAAACTTTATTGATCTCACATTGTAGAAATTTACCTCTACATTTAACTCATCCCCTTACGGAGTAACGGGCTGCCATTGTGCAGCGCCTGGGGAGCAATCACTGCTCTAACCCACTAGGCCAACACTCCACCACTAAGGCTTCCTATTGCTCAATTAATGAAGGTGTTAACTTAACGATGACTACTTCTGCTATGTTAGTCATGCGAAGAAGCTGTGTCAAACAATTGCTGCTGCATGCCGCAGTTTATCGCTTACTCTGAGTCGGAGTGGTTTCCTCCATTCACTGTCCCGGTCTTTAAGTGCATGGCCACACCCCCATTGGTTTCCCGATAGATGCCCCCTAGTGGTGGACCGGAGGGAATCTGAGGGCGGGGAGTGATGGGTGGCTTCACCAGAGATCCGCGCTCGTGGTTGCCAAGGCGAGCTCCGTCGTTGGAGGCCTGCGACGACGGCCGGGAGGAGGGGTTCATAATGTTGACGGAGGAGGGAGGCAGGCCCGAGGTGTTGTTGTTGTTGATGGGCGGGGGAGAGGTGATGGTGGGGGAGCTGTAGTCGCTCAGCTTCTCCCTCATACGGTTCTTCATATTCTTGTCATTCAGAGGAGGAGGATAGCTGATCTTGTTCTTTAGGATACCTGAATAGTAGGAACGACCGGGTTAGAGCGTTTGAGGTTGAGTCGTTAAACTTCTCATCACAGGTGCGTTACTTTACCTTTCCTCTGCTCTGGCTGGTGGTTGCTGTTGGGTTGGCCAGGAGGCGCCAGGTCTTTGCCGTTACCAGGCATCTCCTTGTCTCCCTCCAGGGGAGCTTCCCTCTCCGTTTCACCGATGTGGTTCAGTTTATTTTCCGGATGCTGTTCCACGTTCACCTTTGTCTCCACCCTCAGCCTGTCTGTCCCACCTGGGTCCTCGCTGTCACTAGCTGTGGTGCCCCCTGTTGGCCAGTAAGGTCTTACATGATTGGAAACTGAATCACCTATGAGGAAAAGGAGGCATGCAGAGAAAAGGTTAAAATTATATATATATTTTTAAAATAAAACTGGGAGAAAAATCAGTAACTTTGTTGCAAAATTAAAATAACTCTCATGTGTCTCTCTGTGATAGTAGTTAGGTTAAATTAAATATGTTGATGTCATCATAGGGATTCATGTGCGTACAAAACATTTATTAACTGTTGATTGAGCTGTTTCCTTTGCAGCTCTAAGAGCAGAGGTCATGAACAGAGCACGTCAAATGACATTGCCTGAAGGCTAAATTAACTGATAAAGTGTCTCCTTTAGTTTGAAAAAGAAAATAGGCAGAAAATGTGTCATTTTCTGTCAAAAAATCACTACCATTAATGGTAGAGGAGCTAATCCTTTATTTTATTTTTCTATTTTTATTTTTTTAACTTGATGGAGGCAAACAGCCTAATTTTTGGGATTGGATTGCAACATTCCTACCTTTGGAACTTTTTTGCACCTCTTATACTGGAAATACATGTGAAATATTATAACAATTAAATAAAGAAGTAACAGTTACTGATTTGATTAATCAATTTGTTCAAAACTGATAAAGCTCTGGCTATACCTTTTCCATGCATCCAAAATAGTTAAGTTAGGTTATCCGTAATCATTTTCTACATTTGTGCTGCTATATGTTTAGGCTGCTGGAGAACATAGGGGCCACTTTTTATCTTTCTGCTGCATCCTATTTCTAGTCTTCATTCCGCAGCATCAGTTAATTTTTACCTATAACTATGTTCTCTCTGCCTTCTCTTGTCATAGTAGCTTCATCTGGTCTGTTCCTGTTAGGCCTAAACACCATTCTTGAATAAAATATTAGCTGAGCTGTTTAATGATGTTAAGGATTGGCATGTTTTTTAGCGTAGTCTTGTTTCTGTTACTATGGCAAACAGAGAGCGAAATCCTTCTCCGCAAGCTCATCAAGGGGTGAGCATGTCTTATAACTCAATGATTGGATGATATCAACTGGTTTCCTTGACGGAAAATTTTAACCAATCTGACTGTATTGTTTCTGTAAATTGACTTGAGATGATATGCGTTGCGTTGTGAATTGGGGATATTTATAACCCTACAGTTGCTTGCTCAGTTTTGTCCTTCCACTCAATTTTCTATTACTATGCCTCATAATATGCGCATAGCAATACATTTCTTTTCTAAATTCTCTATTTACTTTGATATTTTAACAAGTTTCAGTTTTACCAATGGTACCTTTAGGGGTGCTGTGAAGGGGTCTCTCGTTGTTCCATTTAGTCTTGACATCTAAATCTTCATCCTCACTATCAGAGGAGTGGGAGGAAGCGTAGGAGGAGCTGTGTTCGTCGTCGACAGACATCTCACTGTCTGAGTCAGAGTCTGCCGGGAACAGGGAAGGTAGTAAAACATAATAAACCTCCAGCACTAAAACTAAGACAATTTTTCCACAACATCATCCATGAGCACAAAAAAAAAAACCCTCACCATCTCCTTTGGTGCCATTTCGATGGAAAAGGGGTCCATCAAGATCTGTGTGTCCTTTAGCCGTTCCTGATGAGCTGGGCTTCTGACCCGACTCTTCCCTAGAGATCCAGGAGATCCGGGAGAAGAAGAATGAAGATACAGAGGTATTTAGGGGGAAGTACAGCGTTACTGGAAGTTGATTCAAGCCCGAGCTTGTAGTTTTTGAAAACTAATGATCAAGAGTGAAACATCAGACATCTCTTGTTACAAAACACCAGCTCCCGTTGTTTGCTTTGACAGGACTAAAACAAAAATGTTGTTTTAAGTGTCCATGGGTCTGATGAAAGTAAAAACCTTAAGCATTTACTATCAAATACTACCCATGGTGGAGGATTTATGGGTAACTCATTGTTCAACCAAAACGGGTGCAATTTCAATCTTGAGCAACCAGTTAGTGCCGTTAAATCCAAAGCATAAATTAGGTTTAGATACCTTTACCTGTTGATCGTAAATTACTAGCTGACAGGTCTGGAATGGCATTTTTATTCCCTTTTGTTCTCTTGCAGCCGTTTATTTCAGGTTTGAGAAATTTGCTGGAGGGAAAAATTTGCAACCAGAGACTCTATGCTGTCTGATGGCTGATCAGAGAGAAACTTCTGGATGTAGCTGAGGACTCACAAACAGCTGCAGGGACAAGGTGGAAATGTCCCACTTGAACGGAAACTGTCCCCATCTCGTCTTAAAGTCTTAAAACCACAATAATAAAAAGTCCATGCATTAGAAATAATTTGAAAAGCGTTCATTGGATCTAACCGTTTCTTTAAAAAAAAACTGAACTGCATCTCTTGAAATGAGCTTGTGGTTTGCGGTTTTCTGCATTTTGAAAATTAAAAATAGCTACAGTAGATGGGATAGTCATCATATCTAATTATTCTATGACGAATCAAGCAGCTCTCCTTCCATAGTTGTGTTTGTAAGATAAAACTTGAAAATAATTTTATGTTCTAAGCATTTTTAGTGTAATTCTTTTCCTTACCTCAGATATGTAAATTATTGGGTCTATAAATGACTATTTTTCTTTTTTATTATTTCAGGTAATAACTTTGAAGTAAGATCTCTTTGTCTTCTGGATTTCAGGCAAAAGCAAAAACAAAAAAAAAGAGTTATGCAACCTACATAATTTACATAATAACGGAGTAAGTAACTGTGTTAGTCTTTCATTGAAAAAGTAAATACTTTTCACATAATGGTAACACTGTTGCATCTCCTGAAATTAATGCAGCAACTCGATCAATCAATGTGAATTCTCATAAACACACCGTCTCCGCAGCATATCAACACTGACTGACAACCGGCTGCCTTTAATCTACACGTACTTTTCCTCACTGCTATACTGGTGTTGCTTGCATATTTTACATTTCTTTCCACAGAAATATACTAGTTCTGACAGGTTTTTTTTTTATGGAATAGTGTAATCCTTTTTGAATTCTGCTGCAAAGTAGCCTATATTTCATTTCTGTTGAATTGCTTAATAAGCAGGATTTTTCAGCTTCATACCTATTTTATAGCTGTTTAAAAACTGTCAACTTGCAAAAATATAAAGTAAAATATAAAGTTCTAAAACACCTTATTGTTCTTTTATCATAAAGAAAAAAAAATCACTATATCTACATTACAATAGTCAAAGCAAACATGTAAAAATACTTCTGATTAGTATTCACTGTTTTTAAATGTGTAATCCTTTTATGTATTAATTTATTAATTAATAACAAACATCTTCAAGTCTTTAGTTGTATTTAGAATTGCAATAATGAAAAGCTATCAAATTTCTTCTACATTTTAGATAATAAAAAGTAACTTGATAGTTACTTTAGCTAGTAACCAGTTACTTTGATTGAGCAGTAAGTAAATAAATAACTAAAAAGTTACCAGAAGTAGTTACTGTTTTGAGTACAATTCCAATCACTGCTTACACATTTATGAGAAAATGTTATTGCATCATTATTTGCTAAATTGTCAAATCATTACATTGCTGGTGTTCAGGATGATAATGCTCCACTAAACACTCAAAATCTCATAACATAAATAGTAACTAGACACAATTATGTTTTTGTTTTTTTTGTTTTTTACACAGTAGGTTTTATTAAGATTGAATTTACTGTCATTTGTGTGGTGTGTTTTTCTTTTATGGGGCAACAAGCCATGCACTGGAAAATCAAAGCATGGTCATTCAATGCAGGTACCATCATACAGCAGCATGCATGATGTGACAGAAAAAGAAAGAAATAAGGAAAAATTTTGTCAGCTATTCTGAACGTAGGGAAATTTGCCAATGGAAGAGTATGATTTCTATTTAAAATGAGAAAAATAACCATTAATCTTATTTCAAGTGCTTAATATCTAAATATCTTATTTAAAAAAATACTTATTTCATTGGCAGATCATCTTATTTTCTGGCTCAAATTTAGGGTAAACAAACTTTTTACTTCCTTTTAGTCAGTTTTTCCAGCTTGGATAAAGAAATCAGGAGTAAATGGCATACAGCCAGCATAGCTTGCAAAGGGCTTTGTGTGTATTAGTAAGTGTGAGACATATGATGCATTGACAGACAAGCAGAAAAAATTGGGAACAAAGACAGAAATCTCCATATAGCGACACGTATCATGCAGGATTCTAGTAAAAGCAGCCATGCGGTCAGTGGCAGTTGTGTACCTGTGTGCGTAAGCCAGGTAGCTGCTGCGGCTCTTGGCTGACCTGAGTGTACTGTCCAAGGAGACGTTGGACTCCCCGATGGCTGTGCGATACAGCGGGCCGTCCTCTGCGTACGTGTTGCAGTTGAGAGAGCGCTGAGGATAAAGAACAAAAGCAGACTGATCTGAAAAAAATGTAGATTTTACATCTTAGAGATCATCTAGCTTTTAAGTGCATTCCTGAATAATGAAAGTAAATCCACTTACGGTAAGTAGGGACGCCCTGGTGGTGCTGGAGTCGTCCTGGACCGTCTTTTTACCTGTGAAGACATTCTTGAGGTTTTTCCTCACTTCTTTGTTGAAGATCACATGAAAGAAGAAGATGAAGACTCCCTGTTGAAGACATTAAAAAACATGTGTAAGCTCACTAATCACAGATAGGATTCATTTTGGGTTTAAAAGGTCACATATTTTTACCTGTAAGCAGCTGAAGATAGCAAACAGATAGTGGAAAGTCATTACATCGCTGTTGACAGCCATGAGGCCGAGCAACCAGGTGGCGCTGATAAGTAGCAGGAGGAGAAAGGCCATACGCAGCGCAGGACTGAGTAAAAAAAAAAAAAAAAAAAGTGAGGTTACATAAATGACTTGATGCTTTGATCTACCTTGAATAGTTAGAGGCTAAGACACCTACATAGCTCCTGATTTCTCCACAACCTTCTGCCTTCGACCACAGGAAGCCTTCGCAGCTAAAACGAAGATCACTATATTCACCTTAAATGAGGAGAAAATAAACAACAATTAGTTTTTAACGCTACTGTACATAGCTGCCTTGATGCACCTGCTTTTAAGGTGCAATGAAAAGAAATAATCTGATATATTGAATATTATGAAAGAAATAGAAGTGAAAGCATTCTCTAAAGAATTTACTTTTTGATTTTGGATGAAAACTAAATCTGGTGATATATGCATTATATGAAAAAAAAAATTATTTTCATGCACGTACAAGAACGACCACGAAAATGGGTCCTGCGAAGCTCCAGATCAGAGTGTCATGAACGGAAAGCCAGCAGAAATCTGGGTTTCCGTAACCTTGAGGGTCTAGGCCGACTGCCAAACCTACACAGAAAAATAAATATGGCAACATTATTTTTCCAAACATCAAAATATTTAAAGTTACAGTTCTTTCAGACATCTCTCTCATTCTGAGATGTGGGTCTTAGATTCATGTTTAGTATGAATCCTAATAAACTTTAACACCTGAGACAAATTACTAAACTCCCCCATAGCTACAGCTAAAATTAACGTATATTTTTTCACAAAACAGCCAGGCGAAATCCCCAAATCTTTAGCTAATGATATTAGCTATGACATTTTACTTGTAAATTCCTGTAAGAAAATATTTAACCTTTAAATAGCAACCATGTCCTCTGCATCCCCCTGTCACTTCCCGATCCGTCCCGGAAGCATCCGTACCAACAGCTCATTTGCGCAGGTGCAACCAGATATACATCCGGTTTTCTATAAATATTGTAATTATGGTACTAGAATTACTTATTTCTATCCTTAACTCACTAAAGAATGCTAATACACATCTTTAAAAATGTTTTATGACTTTTTTGAGACAATTTTGAAGTTTTTTATAATTTCTCCGTTAGACTGCTTGTCTGACGTCATCATCGGACATGAGTAGTCTGGCAAAATAAGATTAAACCATGTTGACCTGCATTTTTTTTCTTTCTTTAGATTCCACACTAAATACCATAATATTAAATAGGAAGGAAACATAAAACTCTAAAAGACTAGATTTATGTTTAAATCCAAAGTTGAAGTAGCATAGAATCCCATTTCTGTTACAAATCGGGCACAGATGAGTGATAAAACAGAAAGGACTTTAAGGCATTTATTTTCTCAGGAAATACATGATTAACCTTTAACACATTATAGTTGAGTACACTTACTCTTTTTAAGGAGGGAAAAACATAATTTAGGTATTTTTTACAAAAGGAAATCAAGGGCCACCCGGATGTATATCTGGTTGCGCATGCGCAAATGAACTGACGGTACAGATCTTGCTTCCTAATTGGACAGATCGGGTAGTAACCCCCTTCCAAAGCACATTTTGGGTGCTAATATCTTCAAGCAAAATATCTATTATGAGGCTGTCGTCCAAACAGGCTCCATTTTTTTATTTATTTTTTATTTAGATGCAATAGAAACTGCCTTGTCTCTGAATTCTTCCTACCGGTGATGACAGCGGGTATGCCCCAGCCAATGGCGTAGTAGAACCTCATGTGTCCATGGTTGATGTTTCGCAACTCGGTCAACATACGGTAAATGTGCAGACCCTCAACGAACATCCAGGCGAAAGTGCACATGTAGAAGTAGTGGAGGAGGATGGCTATTACGGTACACACAAACTGGAAGGAAAAGGACAATATGGGGGAAAAAACAAGCAAAAGAAAGGAAAGGTTAATAGACTCCTCAAGCTTAACTACTTTATCATCCTAATTCCAGCCTTTACATTGCCTCACATTGGCTCCAAGATGTAGAAAAATACCCCTAAGACATTGAAAATTAATTAACTATAGTTGATGATCTAATGATTTGTTCTCTTGCCTTTCTCCCTTTCAATTTCTTTTTTGCTTCATCCTCCATCTTAATTATCTATTTAGGAATGTTGTGAGTCAGAGGATGTCTTTTATAATACATTTGAACAACTCTAAGTATGTCTGCAGAGATCAGAGAAAGAAAAACAGAGAAGTTGCTCTGACTGATTATAAATCTTGCAGCATATTGCCTCGGGCACAGACTGACAACATTCCACAGGTTGAACCTGAACTCACACACACACTCACACACTTAAACTCAAAATGATCAACTTCCACTTAAGGCAAGAAAATAGATTAATATGGCTCTAATTAGAAGCTATATTCTATATACGTACAGATAGCCAGACACATCCAAAGTCAAATCCCAGCACAATAAAAGTTGGGACTCTTCATCGTTTAGCCCTTAACTCCACGTGATTTTATTTTTGATTCTGCTGCATAAGTCTGCACTGATTCATGGCCTTGTGAACAATGCAATAGAAGAAGATTTGATAAAAAACTGCTAAACATAACCACAAATCTAAAAAAGGTGACATGGCTCAGTCTGTGAGTAGGATGTGGATTCCAAGCATAAAGCCAAATCACAGAAACGCCAGTCTAAAAATTGATCTTCTTCCACAGTGATCGAACTTCTAAGGAATAAATCTTACAAAAATCCTAGAGAGAAAAGTTTAAGACATTCAAGGACCAAACCTGTCCTCTGATTACTAAGCTGCCAGAGATTATCCAATGACACACAAGTGTGTGCATATTTAGCAATTAAAAACATTTCCATTTCTGCATTGCAGACACAGAAATCTGTTTCTTCGCAGCTAAATGTATTTATCAAACCTATAGACTTAGAGATCTGAGAACAAGTAAACATCCCAAATGTTTATATCTTCATTTGTACACCAACTGACCATGTTGTCCGTCTGATTGATGCCTAGCAGGAAGACCAGCTCGGAGAAGAAGAGCGTCGCCACCAGGTTCCTGTGGATGGCGTGCAGGTTGGATCGGAGTCGGTGCAGAAGGCACAGAAGGATGAAGGTGAGAAGGAGGAGGAACAGGGAGATGGAGACTGTGGTGTAAGTGACGATCTTCAGTGGGAGGACATCGCCATGCTGGTTTGGGAAAGAAACCAAAGTCACCGGGTTAAGCTGCAGAACAGGCTGAGCGGCAAGGTTGGAATGAAACCTCCTGACTCTACCTCTCTCTTGGAGATGTCCATCAGCACAGCGAAGCTAGTCATGTGATTACACTGGCAGCTAATGTGAGTGTTGTTCCTGTCTAGCACCTCGCAGCCTTTGGAGGACCACCCGCCTGTACCTCCAATCCTAAACCAGACAGGGTTTCAGTAAAATGGGCTAAAACAGAAGCATTTATGAACGAATTCCCTGTGAAAAATTTTTTTTTATAACATTTTAGCCACCAATCATGGATGTGACTGCAGGTAACTCACGAGGAAGAGTGGTCCCAGTAAACACAGACTGGTTTTGTCCGCTCCTCTGTCTCCAGCAGAGTGTACTCCAAGGTGATGGGTGGGTCCAGGACTGAAGGAAAGGGTGGACCTTCACTGTGGACTGTGGCGCTTACTATTGCTGTGTTGATCACTGGACGGTTGGGAACCCTGCAATTCAAGGCACAGTTACACATCCCTTTCTCTTTTTTTTTTGTTTTTGCTGCTCTAGTGGTTCGATTTTTCATCAATAGGCTGACAAGAAACGGGGTATGAGAGAGGGGAGAGACACATTGCAAAGGACCACAGGTCGGACTCGAACCCAGTCGGCCGCGTCGAGGACCAAGGCCTCCATACATGGGTGTGTGCGCGCTAACCGCTGCACCACCTGCACGCCCCGTTACAGGTTTCTTTAATACAGATTAGCATTTCACCGTTCATTAAAACCCATATATGTTAGGGTTTTCTTCTGCCTTCTTTGCATGAAAAATAATGCAGTAGTAAGTTATTGACTGGTAACATGGTTTATTTGATTATGTGCTCATCTGAAAATCCACAGTTACCAGATCAGGCTAATGAAAACACTCTTCGGTGTGGAAGTTGGATTAAGAAGACTCAAAGTCACTATGTGTTTCTAAATGAGCTGGTGATGAAAATTAGCTATTATTATGTCTACTCATATGGAAAAGTTAGCAGTAATTAAAAAAATCTCTGAACTCAGATACATTTCTACATTTTAGATTAAATATATTGTATACAAATATTTTAGTAATTGAAACTGTACTAATCTTGTTAACAGGGGATATGAAATTGTTTAATTATGGATTAGGTTTCAGCAATTTCTCTCTGTTAAGAGAATAGATAGAGTCCCTGTTTTACTGTGACTTCTTTCACACAGTCTTACAATTCTTCTGCTCAAACCATAATATCTGATAGTCTGATTGCAGCAGAAAGGCCAAAAGCAATTATGTTTATTACACTTCTTAAGGAGCTTTATAAAACAGAAGGCCAGAAACTGGATACACATCTCATGTACTTTGAGTATGACTGAGTAAAAACTGAATGTCACAAACCGTACCTCAAATTCCTCCGGTCTGAGTCGTATCTTTCTGGGAGTAGCTGGCCCAGCGACTTGTAAACAATGACGACGGCCACCATTTTAGGTTTGGGTGGCTCTAGGTGACGTCGTGTTCTTTCAGACGCCCTGTGCTCCTCCCCTTTAGGGTGACCAGTCTGGGTTTGAGGTTCTGGAGTTGGCTTCTCTGTGGCAAAAAGAGGAAAGAGCTGATGGATCAGAATGTAGTAAAAGAGGCAGAGTAGTTCTGATTTAGATTTGGTTCTTACCTTTTTGGACATGACCTTGCAAGTTAAAAACTGGGAAGTGGACGGAAGATCCAAGCTCTTTGGGGTAAGACTCCTGGATGTCTTTAAAGCGAGGTAGCGTTGCCTTCTCTGGGTCTGACACATCCAAGTAGTCAACAGTTAATACTGTGGAACAGAAGAAGAGGACAACATACATGAAGCAAAGCCAACAGAAACAATACACGACATATGGACATATGAGCAATTTGAACACTGTTCAATGACTTACTCATGTTGTCAGTGACAATGGTGAATGGTTTGAGGTGGGTTTTCCTGACATTTTGGGCCAAGGTGTTGGCATAGTCCTCAAAGTTGCGAAGCAGGTGTGCGGTGCCGCCTTCTGTCCTCTGGATTTGGTCCCAGTGGTCCTTGGTGCCGGGGTCCAGAATGGCACTGCCTGCTCGCACCAAATTCTGACAAAAACAAAACAATTAAACTTTCTACAAAGATATCAACCCCTACTTAGGTTATGAGATGGACATGTGAACTTGACATTCAGGTGAGGCCAATGTGTTTGAATCTGTATAACTAAGGAGAGGATAATAGGAAGTTAGAAACTTGTCTAAACTTGTAAGTAAATAGAATCAGTGGCATTTTTTTGGATAATGCTAAAATAGGCAATTGCCCAGGGAGAAAGTACTAAGGTTCAAACACGTGCACCAGATTAAAATACCTTTTCTGACAGAGGCTCCCTAAACAAGTTTTCTATTATTTTATCAAATGTCAATGATAGTATGTGCCGCTTACTTGCTGCTGAGAATAAGATGACTGGATCATAAGTTGTGTGTAGAATTTCCTCACATTTTACCCTCAATCAGAATCACAAATGATTTCCTGCATTCTATTTGGTTGAAGGGGAATCACCCATCGGTCAATTTATCTCAAAAAAACGCACATTTTACATTGAGTATTAATCCTATTGGTTGTTAAAATTAGTTATTTTTCTCTTTTGTACCTCATTGAACTTTGCATCCTTCATGGCAGTGAGATTTAGGCCAGACTGCCGGCTTTCGTACTTCAGCACTTGATTCAGAAGCTGGGACGCCATCTTGACATCGTTGCCGTAGAAGTGCGGCTTCTTATTCGTGGCACTGTGCAGCAAACGCACAATGTCTTTGGACTGTTCACTATTCATCTTAAAGCTGTTGCGACGCAGCTCCTCATTCTGGAAAAGGTTATTCGGAAACAGCAAAAATTAGAACCCAAATAGTTGTAGAACCAATATAAGCTTTGGTCGCTCCAGGCAGATCATTGAAAATGATTCAAAAACAGAAAATCAGATGAGTATATGTGCAGTAGCTTGTTAACTATAAGTGATTTTAAATGCTACGAGGAGTGCTCACCATCTTCTTCAAACTGGATAAAGTCTCTGTGGTACAGTTAAAAAGTTCAGGAGACAACCAGCCCTTATCAGTACAATGACGAATAGCTGTACCTGGAAAGAACAAAGAAACATTTGCTTTACCATCTCTTTAAATGCTTATGCATAAAGGGAATTTTGGGAAAGAAAATATCTTCCTCAAAGTGACCAAGGTTTCCTAGAAACAAATAAGTAAACCCTGCAGTGAGGGTCCAAAAGAAAATCAAGCCTATCTATCTAACAACACAGAGTAGCAGTGAAGCGAAAGGTACACCTTTAGCTCCTAATGTACCTGGTGTTTTTCCAGGAGTGTTAAGGAGCAAACCTGTGCATGACTCCCTAGCGTGAAAGCTCTGCTGGATTATACGCATTAATAAAAGATCCCCATTACTGTGATTTGAACCTGTGTAGGTGTGTTTGCACGCCTTAAAAGACTAGCTGACAAAAGAACAGCTGCACATATAGTTTAACTGATACATACAATAAATTGTCATTTTGATATCACCGCATGTCAGGGCTAAAAAGCTTCAGATCATTTCTCATTTGTGTGGATTTTTCTTTTCGCTAAAGCTTTTTAATTTGCATTTATCAAAATGATTTGTTTCTCTGCATAGTTAGACATTTTTTTGTCCAAATAAAGAGTGCATTGTAAAGGCATGGGCTTTGTAACCAAGATTCAGCTTAGTCAGAGTTTTTATTGGCTGTTTGAAAAATAGAAAATAAGAAGGGCTGCCCTTCCCCAACTTGTTAAATGACTTTATAACATCAGATTGCAGGCTAGCTACCTAAGCAAACAACCTTCGTAATTTTAATTATATTATTCTGTAAAGTGCAAAAAAAATTAACAATACCCAAATTAACAATGTTATAGAGAAGCTATTTTAACTTTTATCTCTATCAAAAAAGCAATTACATAAAGGTTCACCTTTTGCTTTTAAAGTATTTGTGTGAAAACCCTTAACCAATTGTATATTTAATCAAATTTACAACACAATGCGACAGTCATTCTAGCCACAATCCAGCTCTTTTCGGAGCTACCATTAACAGGATTTTCCTGATTTATTTTTATTTTAAAGTTGATAGGTAGTTCAAAGAGTAAAAAACAAAAAAAAAGCTGCAATGCAAAAAAAGTTGATGAAACAATCAGTTTGCGTTTATAACCACTGCAACAATCAGGTGTTTCTCATCTTAGCTTCAGTGACATTACAAGCTTATACACTCAGAATCAGTTAAGAAAGGGATCATTATGTTACCCACCGATGGATCCTTTGGGACAGTCCATAGCAGCAGGGCGTCCAAATTTGGTCTTTGGCCACCAAATGCCAGCATCAAATGCCTTTGGGCAGTGTTCATACACAACTGCAAAGAAAACAGAATTATTTCAAGCAAAAAACATTACTTAGGATGTCAATCCAGGACTGTTTTCCATGAAGCATTCCCCTTAGATGTAAATTCCTTTTCTTGTAGGTCACCAACTGGTCCATTTATGCCAGATTGGCATGGGAGACTAAACTAAACTAATCCCATCAGACTTTTAGATAAGCTCTGATAGACAATTAACATCTGGACCTAGAGCTTTTAACTATTTACATAGTTTTCTATTGAACATTGTGAGCCTCTTCATTGTCTTGATAGAACTATCTACTCTAAGGTGACTTTTTGAGCAAGTATTCATCCATCAAAAGATCCACAGTTCAGAATCGTTTGGATAAAAATTGTATTTGCCCTTTTGACACAATAACAAAACCCCTGGTTTGGGCTGTTTGTTTATATCAGGTCTGGATGAGAATCTGCTTCAATTTATGATCATTTATCAAAATGATTTCACAGAAAGAGGAACTGTACAGTGTGTTTAAAGTCTGAACATGTTCCATCAGCTCAGCTCAGAAAAAGAGTCATGCTAGGTCAATCAGTGACATTGGTTTTTGTTTTCTATTCATCTAGCCTGTATTATCTAAGTGCCGAATCATTGCCAGGACTGTCCACATGCCAGGATTGCCTCTTCTGCTTCACTGCTTGATGACAAAGATGCAAAGTGGCAATGTGGCAGCGTTTGTTTCCCTCCGACACTTCAGTGATTCATCATGTAACCTTTGTGAACCAGAAACATCACATGCTAGTCCTGGATCATGTTTTTCGAAATAAACTTCTTATCATTATCATCTCTGAATCAATTTTACACGATAAAAATCACCACTGCAGTTTAAGATGACGTGATGATGTGAAATCCCATCCACATACCCTGACATCCTTTAGGTGTTACTTCACCAAATGGGTTATCGCAGCGATTGCACTGAAGGCCGATAGCGCCTCCCTTGCAGGGGCACTGCCCGCTGACTGGGTCGCATGTTCGAGACTCGGAGCCTATGTGGAAACAGTCACAAGGGTAGCAGGTGTCCTCGCCCTCAGGCCGATAGTAGTTATCCTGGGGGGGAAAAGGATCAAACATCAGTGCAAATGATTGATCTTCAACCACCATGCTTGACAACAGCCAAAAGGTGTTTACATTTAATGTTTGCAATTTCAGTAAATGTTGCACCAAGTCATCTTAAGTCATAATGGGGTCAGTTTACCCAAAAATCTTCACCATGATGGCTGACTCTTTCCAATGTGTTCTCCTTTTTCTTAAAAATATTTCTCTTAATAGAATAACAGACTTAAATTTGTTTGAAACTTTAAAGATTCATAGTCCACAACAGTTGCTTCTCTAAAGTCACAGCTGTTGCATTTTTCATGTTAAAACAGAATTTTATGCATCTGATGCCCTGTCCACATATAGATATGCGTAGCTTTACCCACTAATGTATTTTGTTTTTAAAGCTTTGCATCATGAAATATCCCTAAGGGAACACTTTTTTTAAATGTTGGTTCATTTTCTTTCATCTCGTATGACAGATTATAATGGTGTTGTGAAATCTGAATGAACCCAAAAGCACAAATAAAGAAAAGTGGAAAGGTGTGTGTTTGAGTGTGTACCTTGCAGCGGCACTCTCCAGTGGTTTTGTTGCACTCCTTATTAAATCCTTTGCTTGTGTCACAGTTGCAGGGCCCACACACTGGGCTACCCCACCAACCCGGAGGACATGGTTTCTCCACTCTATTGTAAAAGGGTAAGACAAGTGTGCAAAATCAATTAAGCCAGCAAACAAGTTCCCCTTTTTAGAAGTCGTGCTTCGAGGTTGAAGGGGAAAACATCAATCAGGTTATTTACTAAATTCATCTAAAATGTGGGATTTCTGAGTAAACGTCCTCCAGACGTAAGTATTATCACTGTTATGTGATCTGATAGGGGACAGGTGGCAGTATGAGGGCAGATGAGACTTAACACCTGTAGAGGATCAGTGAAGCAAATAGGGGGGAATCCCACATCTTGCTTTAGACAGGAAGTGATGCGTGTCGGTTGGGTTAAGGTTTAGCAGGAAATGACTGCTGTCTGATCTGGGTCGGCTGCTTCACATGAAATCCTTCATCAAAGCATTACAAGTAGATTGGAAAGCATTCCAAAACAATAAGACTGCAGAGATTTATTGGAATGAATTCATTTTTAAGTCTGAATTGTTTTTTTTGAATTGGATTTTTGAATCCTGTGATATATTTTCCAAATTTTAAGAAAAGAATGCATTTAAACCCTTACTTGTTTTCACAGTACTGGCCATAGTAGTTTTCTCCACATTCACAAGTGTATCCGTGGGATGAACTCGGCTTGTGGACACAATTGGAGACATGCTCACAGGGATTGAGCTTACAAGCGTCCACACACTCCTTACCAAAGTAGCCTAGGACACAGAGAGGGAAAAGGGATTGTGATGAATCCCACTAAGTGAAACATGCTGGTGTCTTTTACATACTGACCCCCACACAGACGTTCAAGTTTATTGTAGATCTCACAAAACTTAACTCAAGACCTAAAAAAAAATGAACAGGATCTTGCAAAAATAACTTCTTTGTTACGTTTACAAGATCCTGCAAGTGAATACAGTTTTAGCCATTCAAAATTTCCCCACTTTCCTTGATTAGCCCTTGGCTGGTCCCCTAAAATTCCTTTTTAAACATCAATCTTTGTACTAAAATATTCTTTCTGTCATGATTTGTGGACATTAGGATCTAAAGAGGAGCATCATCTCCTGGTCAGACCCTCTAATTCAGTGGAGTCGGAGTAAAAATTATATAGGCCGAGGAAAAGGCCAGTGGCTGGAAGTTGGAGGGGATTTTTCTGGGAGCTTCAGGGGAGTAGGCTGCCAATCAGCTAGGGTTTGACTGCAAAAGGCCATTTTGAATGGCTGCTACTGTATCTTAGTCTTTCAGGTCTATTTCAAAGCACAGAAAATACGTCCGGTCACTACCTGGGTCACAGACACAGGTGTGTGTGGTCCAGTCATCGCTACAATGGCTGTTCTCAGGACAGATGTTGGAGTCACAAGGGTCTGCCACATCACAGCCATCCTCCACATGGATTTTCAGGCCCTGGGCCATGTTCACATTGGCCACATTGGTAGCGGTCTCTCCCATGCGCACACCCTGAAAGAGACAAAGTTCAGATGACGATGATACTCAAAGAAAAAAAAATGCCCTGAGACAAACAGAAAAGGAGGCATTTTACATGAACAAACCTACCTGTATGCAGCCAACAAATCCTCTATTGACAATGTTTCCCTCTCCAGGCAGCCCTCCAACATGGAGTGTCTCTACCTTCAAACCTGGTAGGTCATTACCAATTTGAACAGACTTCTGCTTAAAAAAAAACACAGACAAAGATGAAGAACTTCTTCCTCCAATAACATCTTAACCTCCCAGTCAACACTAGAAGTGAAAGTTTTACCTTGTACATTCCGTAATCCAAGGAAACAGCTGCCATGTATTTAATTTCTTTGCCATCTTTAATGCTTCTTATTTCTACCAGCAAGTGGTGCCACTCTCCATCATTGACACGGACTTGGGGAAAACCCAATGTTGCCAATAACTTCTCCTTCAACAGCACTTCCATACGGATCTGCTGTTCCCTCACCTAGATGGCGATAAGACGGAGAAATCCAGTGATTTCACCTAAAGTGTTTTGGCTTTTTTTGACAATATTTATTTTTTTGTTGAATTCTGTAGTCTAACCATTATGTTAATGGTAGAGGATGATCCAGCGTTGACCTGCATCAGAGTCCCAGTCGGCTGCCGGGTCCGGAACATGAGACCCATGTACCAGGGAACGGCGACAGTTATATCCGGCTCGCTCCAAGATACCAGTGCCTGGCCATCAAAGAACTGAGGAGAGGGCATCTCTGCAACAAAACAAGGCAGAATTAGACGGTTAGTAGACAAAATATAGTCACAATATTACAATAGGGTATCAACGATTTTTTATTCTTTTAAAGACAAACATCTATCGTCTCACGATCGAGTAGCATTATTCTTGCTGTACAACATTGTTGCTAATGATTTGGTTTTCAGATTTTGTTATTAAATGTAATCCACAGAACCAGGTGAGTCCAACCTGCACAATTAACTAAATTGTACCTATTGGACTCTACTGGTTCAGTGGTTGGGCTGAACGAATACATGACGACATGTTGACTCCACAATGCCCAAAGAGAAGCTCCAACTATAGAACAACAAAGCCCTTCTTTCTTCTTGGTAGAAACTAATAGATAGGGCATAACTTTATAGGAAAGCTTTATTAGCAGAAGGCACTTTGGTAGAGTCGGGTTATAAACTATGGTAAATGGTAAATGGTAAATGGCATGTACTTCTATAGAGCTTCTTCAAGTCAGAGGACTTGACCAGAGCACTTTACACTACATTTCGCCATTTACCCCTTCACGCACACTCTGATGATGGTAAATTACATTGTAGCCACAGCTGCCCTGGGGTTCAGTGACGGGAAGCAAGGCTGCCGCACACTGGCACCACTGGGCCCTCTGACCATCATCAGTAGGCAATGCAGGTGAAACGTCTTTCCCAAAGACACAATGACACTGAAAGTTGGAGCCAGGGCTCGACCCAACAACCCGCCGATTGCAGGGCAAACTCCTGCACCCGACACCACTGTCACCACTACTACTAGAAAACTATGAGCTACTGTAAGAAACTACAACAACAGGATTGTGTTTCCAATGGGGAATTTAGGTGTGATCTGCAACATTTCTGCAAAACTACTGTATCTTTGGATCCTTTAATGATTTTACAGCTTCTCAAAAAACAACTTTTATATTTTACTAAACCTCAGCAGAATCTTGGGAAACTAACAATTGATTTCCATCTAACGTCTATATCAGCTTTTCCTCAAAGGAAGATGATGGCGCTGCTGGGTTATTTAAAAAGGTCAGTGGGTGAGAGACAGGGTACACCCTGGAAAAGTTAGTGGTCCATCACATGACAAGACAGATACAAACACTAAAGACAAACATGCATACACTCCCAGAATACTTATTGCAGCTCAGAGAGACCAATTAAAGCTCAACAGTCATTTTTTTGGACTGTTTGGATGTGGTAAATCTTTAATGCAAAATGGAGAGAAAAACTGGGCAAAAACACTTTAAACACTCATGATTATTGGTGTATTAAACTTTCAAACTTAGGTTGAAAGGGTGGGCAATTTTCTCCAAGATTGATACAAAAAACCCTAGTGGGTGACAGCAGGTCACCTTAGTTTGTCAATGTGAAAGATCCAAAGAGGGGTATCATATTTCCAGTGTGAAAGCAGTGAACTTGAAGAATTAGACTTAATGTGTCAACAAGAGACAGAGCAGCCAAAAAAAACACAAACTGTGATCCTGACCAGGTTCTGATACTGGATACTAGGGCCTGGCACTAGTTTGGTGATTACCTGATAGCAAAGCCAAAAAGGTGAGGCGTTTACACCTTTCTTTGGAAACTTGCCTTGAGGGAAGACATCAGAGTTCTCCCCTTGCCAAAGAAGAAAACTAAGTAGGATGGAGTATAAATAACTTATCATGGCAAAAAAGGAAAGATTTTTGAGTTTGTGCTGAAAACTGATGCAAATATACTGAGTTGGCAGAGAAGGAGTAGCGGGTTCTGTGAATGTGAGAACATTTTTAGTGTTGGGTTCTGGAAGGCAATTCAATTGTTTCTTTAACCTGAAAGTCCAAACCTGAGGTAATGCTTTCTGACTCTACAATAGAGTAGAGGCTTCCCCTAATGCTATTGTGACTAAAGCATGAGTCACGATGAGCTAAAGTCGATCCGCAACAGATCTAATCTCCCTTCTAGATGTACAAGTGAATAAACATGTCCATACAGAAGCAAACAGGTGAGCAAGTAGAAACAAGCAAGAAGTTATGAATTCCCACTGGATCATCTCACCGTTTGTTTTTTGCTTTTTGAAAAAAGTAAGAAAATATACATATCTGACCTTGTTCACAGCTTTTGCCCCCATAGCCAGTAGGACAGTCGCAGCTGTAGGTGTTCCACTTGCTAACGCACACGCCTCCGTTCAGACACACATTGTCTGTGCAGAAGTTCTTCTTTGCTGGACAACCTGGGCATCAGAAACCAGCTTAAACTAACAACTGAGCATTATTTCTGTGCTTTTTGTTAACATTTGCAAAGAAAGCTTAGCAGATATTAGTCCTTCAGATTGTGCTTTGAGAAATGATAAGAAATTGCAGTGCAAACTGGGTCTAACCTGCAGTGGTGCCATTGTTAGCGATGTAGCTGGCCATGTCGATGGGTTTGCTGTCGATAGTTAAGTTTCTCATGCAGCCCACAAAGTTTCTGTTCCTGACTGGGAAGTCCTCAGGCAGATTGGGAACTCCTCCCAGCAACAGAGGGCCAGTCAAGTCCAACGATCTGACCAAGATAAAAAGAGATTGGAGTAACACCAAAAATAGGTAATATCAACATTTCTTATGAGAAAAACTTATAAATTAACCCAAATGACCACAATTACTGACATCCTAGAAAGTGACCTCCCCACACCTCCAGGGTTTAAACATCACTTGACCAAAAGCTGACTGAGGAAAGCCAGACTGTAAAAACATGCTTTTGGTCTTATAGGTTTAAATACTGCACCAAAGCTGATTAAGCCTAAAGCTTCTAGAATGCAAACAATCAAACAGCAAACTGCTTTAAGATACGGTACTTAAAGTGGGGCAACTCTGCATGATGCAACTGAACATGAGTTTAAATGGACGCAATGCAAATTCCAATGTCTGGCTGGGAGCATGAAAAGCTGCATTAAATCAGATATAGAGGAGAAAATACACATACAGAGAGAGAAATCAGCAGGATTTATCCTGAAATGCCATGAACCCCTTGCACAGCAATACCTTAGGAATCTGAGATTCCTTGTTATTTATAAAAAAGAGAGAGATAAGTGAGGTACAGCTTTTTGCAGAATTCATAACCTTTGACCTGTTTTACTTTTTTCTCTGTTGAGTTTTTTGCTAAATAATTCGTCACTTATATGGTTCGTGTTCAAGAAGGGAATCATCAGAAACATGCATAATTCTAGGGCTGACTAAGGCTGCGCGTTCATCAGAGAGGCAGTCAAACACTCATAGTAACTTTGAAGGTTCTGCAAAGATCTACATCGCAGGTGGGAGAAACTACTCTAACTTATTTGATGAATCTGAACAAGAAATTCTTTTCACAGTTTGCAAAGAGCCACTGTGAAGCATGGCAGTGGCAACATCATGCTATGTAAATCTTTTTTTTGTCAGGGATAGAGTAGGATAGAGATACATGGTTGAAGATAACCTGTTGAAGGCTGCTAAGACTTAAGACTAAGATGGAGTTTAGGTTAAAGAATCAATCAAAGCATGTTAATGAGTTAGAATGGCCTAGTCAAAGGCCACCCTTGAATCCAGATTAGAATCTGCACAAGACTGAAATCTGATTAATTTTAAACACTATAGAACAAACGTCAAACACTAGATGTTTAAAGCTGGTAGAGACATAACCTATAAGACCTGCAGAAAAAGACGGTTCTGGAGAATTTGCACTCACAGGCGCTAAATACAACGTTTAATGCTAATAAAGATTTAACCTATCAATCATTTCTTTCCACTTCAGAAATCAGAGCTACTACTTTTTAATCTAAAGAATAAAATTAAAACACTTAGGAACAAACCCTTTTTCACCTAACTACCCTGCAGGAGTTTGTTTATGTTCTGATATATTATGTCTGGATCAGAGTGTCTGTGACCAATGCACTGTGTCCCTGAAAGAATGTAACTCATCGTCAACCTTTAAATGCTTCTCTCTGTTCCCACCCTCTGCATTTCAAATGTGTCTCAGCACGTTCTGCAAGTGACTCATTGAGAAACTGATTTGCATTGCGGCAAACTCTAAGTCCCCTGAAGCATGCGCTGAGAAGCTCCAGCTTAGCTAAGCTTTGGGATGTCTGACAGGAGATGCGGCAAGAATGAAAACAGATTAAAAGCTAAACAGAGTGTGGTTTTGGAAGCTGTTTCAAGGAGGGCAATTTTGATAAAACTTTATAAAGAAGTGATAACATTTTTAGTCTGAAAGTAGTTGGAGTTCTCACTTCTTCTGTCCGGTCTGGGTGCCCTGGGCAGCGCAGGTGTAGTTGCCAATCTGTTTCCCAAAGCGAACTGCCATGGAGATGTCACAGTCATCCACGGCGACCACTGCCACCTTCTCTGCAGAGGGTCCGTGAGGGATGCCGAGGCGGCCGATGTTAGGCTGCAAAAAAACACAAGAAAGCTGACAGGTTTTTACTGTGCTTTTCAACTGTTTCCCTTGCCTCAGTATGTGTGAACAACTTTCTTTTCTTATCCTGTGTTTTAGAACTTCATGCTTGATTTCTCTCTTTGTCTCTTTTGGTGATTTCTGCGAAGGGTGGCAGGGAAGGCCGCTCCATCAGTGCAGGTTAGCGCTCCTCGAACAATGTTTGGCTGACTTCAGCCAACTTACAACACAAGTACTTATGCCTTTCATGGCTTAACGTGACAGAAAATGCCTTTGTGTGCTTGGCTCACACCTCCATAAAGGTTTCTGGCCGACAAATGCTAATCAGAGAAAATGTGGATCAGCTTAAAAATCAGGCCACCAAATCTTTTCAGTTGCTGTAAATCTGAACCTTAGAATGAGTTCCATCTGGTTTCCTTATCAGGATCAATTCCCTTCACCCAAATAGCTGAATTATAAGATAAAACAAACTGAAGTGACATATTGCAGTTCCGTTTTCTACTTTAAATTGATAAATTCTTGGCAGCTTCATCTGAATATGAGAAAAAGATGAAAATAAAGAGCTGAGAGGCTTGGATTGAAAAATATGGTGTCTTCAGTACAAGAATGGGATTAGAGTAATGAGATACTGGTGTGGCTGGTGCACAGCAGAGAAAAGAAGCAAAAAAACAAGGATACAAAAACAAGAAAAGAAAGAGCAAGAGACAAAACAGGGGAAGTGAACTGAACAGACAAAAGGAAAAGCCCAACAAACAAAAAAACCAAATGGCAGGAAAAATATGCAACAGGGAATGCACTGTCCTCCTGTTTTGGCTCAGTAGGGCTCCGGTCCGGGCATAGTTTCAAACCCATAGGGGGTTTTATTGCAGTTTTCTCTCCTGCCCCTTCTTTTAACCAGCATTCTTTCCATGTTTTATAAGCATTTTATAATAGATGGTTAATCTACCCTAAAAACCCTCCTAGAGGAGCACTACTTTTTCATATTGAAACTTTGCTGGGGAGGAACGCTAAGCAGCTCTGCTCTGTTTAATTTCCTTATCAGTGGTTTCAGACATCCTAACTATTTTGAAATTTGCAAAGTGAGAAATAACATTTTTCATTCTATAAATCATATATGTTGGCTGTATTTCACCAGTGGAAAAACATGGAGTGAATCATCCTGTTTCTATAGCATCATATGGGTAAAAAACTGTTATTTTGAAAGGTTTCCCAGCCTTTTCCTTAAGGGGCACACATAAAAACGCAGATTTTTGTGAAGTAATAACTAAAGTTGCACCATTGCAAAACAATGGAGTAAGAGTGGATATTGCATATTGTCATATCCGCTATTAAAGCATCATGGGTGAATGCTTTATCTATTTAATTTCACTCAGGAAAGCTATAAGAGAACAAACCTCAGGTGATCAATCAAAACAAAACCGGCAGATGAAACAGGAAAAAAAGGAGAGATATTAAGGGTTTAGGTTACTAAGTTCCAGGGGGTAAAAGTTTGAGGTAACATAATGAAAACAGACCTACAGTTCAAAACATCCTGTATAATTTTCACAACTATCCGACACCTGAACCAGAAACATGACATGTATGTATTTATACAAAGCAAGAATTCAAATGAACAACAATAACAGCAAACATATCATTTAGAATAGAGGTTCCGGTTTATTGCTAAAGAATAAAGCCTATTAATTAAATTTCATCCTTATAAAGTTAAACACCAAATTGTCAATTTTTGAAGCTGCTACTTTAATGAATGAATAAATTAATCTTTTTTTTTTTTTTTTTACAGTCATGATGCTATTTTTTAATCAAAGTCATGCAGCAATTATTTTTTTTGCCTGACTCATGCATCTTAGTAATCCTTAGTAACCCCCCCACCCCGCATCCGGTTAAAATGAGTAGATGAGAAAAATCTGCCCTATTCATGAGGCACCTATGATCACACTTGCACCTGGAGGGTAAACAAACGCCCTCTTTCTCCAGCTAGAAAAGGATGATTTAAGGCAGAGCAAGATGATTCCAGCTCAAAGTTGAGACAAAGTCGATCTTTTAACAGATAATCTCTACGGGGACAGCAACTTTTCTTTTTTAGCTGATGTCTTAGTCGTGATAATCTGTTTTTTTTTTTGGCCTTGATAGGCCTCAGTAAAGGTAGCTTTGAGATGTAGCTTTGCTTTGAGGAAAAGTGTTTATTTAATAACAAATGGATAGTCCATAGTGCTAAAGGCATATATCATCACATAGAGGAAGAAATGCTTAAAAAGGATGATATAGGACCTTTACGTATAACCAAAACTCCATGACTAATCCTCTTTTTAGAATACGCCCCAGTGAAAGATTAATCTTATATTATTTTATATTTGTCACCACATTTTAGGATCTAAGAGCAACTGAAACACTTACTGCAGAAGAGGGATTAATGTTCATTACTATCAAATATTAGAACCTCAATTTGTAGAAAACACGATGTTAAAGAAAGTTCAACAAAGATGCAACAGACTTAAGAGTATGGAGCAGAAAAGGGATATTTTTGACTGTTCAGTACAGAAACACAAGCTTAAAGTAGGGCTATTTGCTCTGACTGGGTAAATGCATTACTGTGGCATGCAGGGAATCATAAGACAGATCAAATTTCTAAAAAAAATCTGATTAGCGACAAAAAAAAAAAAAATCTTGTTGAAAATATCTGCGGGCTGTATTTTACTTCATGAAATCTGACAGAGCAAGCCTTTGGAGAACAGTGATGTTCTATATCATTTTATAAGAACCCAAAGACAGAAATCTAAGCGAGCTCTCTCTTTAGGATATAATAACGTAGTTTGGGACCTAGTGTGAAAACGAAACTGATAACACAGCTACATAAACTGCCTTCAGGGGCAACAGAAGGTAAAAACCCTGATTCCTGTCTTATCATCTCTTTTGAGTTCAGTCAAGCTTAAGAGATAAGGACCAGAAACAAAACATAGAGCGAGGAACGGTTGTCCACATCTTGCATGTAATGCACTGAGAAGCCAAATTCTCTGAGCAGCTGTTATACCAGACGATAATAAACTAAAAATAATCAACCACATGTTTTGTCTTAAGCAGCACTACCAAAAGCTAACTTTTAAAGCCATTTATCTACTCCATTCTCTAGTTAAATGTTTGGGTTAGTGTTGCACCGATGCCATTTTTTGGCCTTGATACCCGATATCTGGCGGTGCAGTATCGGCCGATACCATCGATTTGAAATTGGTGTGTGTGTATATATGAAGAACTGCATACTACTTGGATGTAAAATAATCACCGTCATGGCTTTGTCAAGCTGCTGCCTACTTTTGTGAAGCAGAAAAAAGACTAATACAAAGTGAATCCAGTAGAACTTTTTATTGCCTACCGTACTTGGAATGGGTGACAATAGTTGAATAAACTTTTGGCTCTAAAAATGGTATCAGTGTCCTTTTTGTTGATACTCGCCAATTCATATACCGATAACATAATTTTAGTGCTGGATTGGGCCCCCACCCGATGCTAGTATCAGTATCGGTGCAACACTAGTTTGGGTTGTTCAATTAAAAAGGTGTTAATAAATAATTACATCATCCATGGATTTGTTCTACATGCCCAGACCCCAATTACCTAACAAAAGATATTCTATATGCAGGCAGCAGGAAATTATATGATAAAACACTAATAACTACACTACCCCTATAGGTGGTAATGATTTTAATGTGTGAATACAGAGTTTCCAGCCAAAAAGTGTTGTAATTACCCTGTTAAACCCTTAATCCCTTTGCCAGAAACAATCAACCCAGAAATCCCAGTCTGAAGTGAAAAAAGGAAAGAGAAACAGGAACAAGTTCTGTTCTCTTCCTTTTAATGTCTAAAGTCGGACCTTGGATCTGGGAATTGCCGCATGTCCAATTAAACTGTGTTCCAGTTCCAAATTCAGACATTAGAGGGAAAGGCTAACTCATGACAACAAAACAAGCAAAACAAGCTAATATCAGTGTTTTTCATCACATTGTTCAAAAACAAAGGAACAGCAGTGAGAAATGTAGACAGGCGGATTTTACCCACTAGATATTCTAACTTCTAGGGAGTTGCCTGTTCTTTATTTTACTTTTTTTTTTTTAAATGCAATCTTAAAAACTTATAATTTGCTTAAAAATGTTACACAACTTTTTTCCTCTTTTTTTTTTTTTTTTTGAAGAATAACAAACTCTGAAGCCCAATTTTCTTTAGCACATTCAGCAGAATGATAGTTAGAAAAGCCAGTTATTTACAGAGATGGTTCCAATAGAAAATTTTTAGAGCTACGGTTTGAAAGTATTTCCACATTCTTCCGACATCCATGAATGAATCCCACTGAATACGCTCACTATTGAACAACAGCTTCCATACAGCCACAAAGTGGGTGAAAAGTTTTTTTTTTTAACATTTCATTCGCAAACAAAGGGTTCCAAAAATTAAAAAGTATAGAAATAAATAAGTATTATATGCCACACGTGTTGCTGGGAAATATCCAAATCAGGAAACAGAAACTATCCCCACAATGTTTTTAACAAAAGCCAAGCATCTAATATCTTCTGTTTTTCTCTCTGAATTGTGCATCTTTTTCTTTTTGTCTCATGTTTGTTTGCTCCAAACAGGTTTAAAAATGATTAAAAAAAAAATGTTTCTTCACTTTTTTTTGCAATACTAAACCTAAAATCTTCTCTACTCCTTCATTTTAACCTCTATTAATTGGACATTTTTTAACCAGATATCTCAGCCAGAGGATTCGCCTTTCCATCACCATATTTGGCTGATTTCAGTCCCATTTTCAACCCTCTTGTTTTAAGAGCACTTGGCCCCAGCTTTCAGGGGCCCCACATGAGCCTCTTATTTACCATCCACCCCAACTCGGGTTGGATGAAAATTCCCTCTCCCTCTGTAGTCGTTTCCAGGGGTGATGGGGCGTGCCGCGGCCATGACGACGCTCTTAATCTCCAGAGATCGCCACAAAGAAAAAGAGGGCA